ATCAAAGAAACCAAATATTCAAACAAAGAGTTATTGTGTTAAATTCTGAATGGTATCAGTCTCTGAGCAAATATATTTTCTCTGCAAAGAATCTTCCAATGATGAATGGATTATCCTAATGAGAGATGCTGAATGACAATGCAATCAGAGTGGAAAGGTAGGTATGCTTCACTATAATATAAGCACAAGCAAGGACTCATACCTGTGATTGATCATATCTGCTCTTTGTTTTCTGCTACCATTACTCTAGGTATCCCTTATCTTGTTTATTTTCTTTGGTTCCTTAATAAAGAAATTGATGATTCAAAAATGGCTGTTCAGAAACATTTTTATCCAATAAGCTGGCTGTTACTACAATCAGATATGTGGAAGAACTGCCCACCAGATTACTGGGAAAATCTCCAAGAGCACTCAAGAAATGATCTGGATCCATCAGGTAGCTGGAATGGACCATTCTTATGGGTCTTCCATCCTTGCAGATGTCAAAGGGTTAGCAGGGTCCACAGGTTCTCACTATTTATGTCACGATGATGAAAGCAACGTGCCAGAAGCTCTGCTCCTTTGGGACATGCATTTAACATCACATCACATATAGAAAAGTGGTTGGTTTGCACCAGAACACCACTACTTATGTCACTCTGACTCCCTTGCCCCTCCACAGATGCTGCTGGATGGTGGTATTGTGCAGCTTGACCAGAAAGTGAATAGACATATGGCAAGGAATTCCATTAATGTCACACAAGTTCCAAGTCTAACCTATGATTGCCCATATGAGTAAGGGACAAGTCCATGGCTTTCTTGGCAATGATGGCCATGAAATCCTGAACACATCTGGACCTCACCCTGAGCAGTATGAACTTTGGGGAATCTATACTACCAGCTACATCTGTAGGAGTTTAGGAAGGGCCACTAATGGCAGTAGGGTGACAATATGCCGTAAAGAGCCCCAACTTCTCCCTACAGCCGAGTCTCAGTCCTTACAACTCAATAAACAACCCAAGATCCATTGATTAGCACACCTAGTTACCACAGAGGTATTACAAATGATTGGAGTCACCCAACTTTGGCCCTTTCCATCTTGGCTGCTGGAGGACCTGAAGCCCAGGAAGGCAAACCTCTGGTGGCAAGACCCATCTAGTTGGTTATACTCAGAAATCAAGAGTGACATGAATTTCAGGAAGGCAATTTTAATGTTAGTCTGAGGTAATTTCAGAATCTTGAAAAATATTAACAGTAAATTCCCAGGTCAGTTAAAGTGGGTTAATTAAGGCCACGTCTTTCTGAAATTATTTTTCTCTGATATCTCTCACATCTGTACTGAGTTGCATCTTCTGAGATAAATTCTCAAATATTTCATCCCTTATTTTCCCACACCTTCTTATATCCAGCAAGGTTATATCTTACTCAGCCACATCTCAGTAATAAAGTAATACAGTTTTATCTTGTATAGTTGTAGCTATACAGTTACTATATTGAACTTGAAACACTTAGATCACTTATGTCCAACAGCAAAACACAAGTGCAATCACACATACGAGTCACTCTACAGTGAGATGGGCAGTGACAAATTTGAAATATAAATAAAGACAAATGCACTCAAAATATTTTTAAATGGTCATGGTCTTGTGAGATCACCAAGTCTTGCAAGATTTTGGTAATTAAGTAAACAACAACAGTAAAAACAACAACTATTATTCAGTTGTTCTTAAATGGTTGATATCTTATGAGATCACCAAATATAACAAGATTTTGGCTATTGATATTACATTCATTCATTCATTCATTTATTTATTTATTTATTTATTGGCCGTCCACCAGAGAAAACATAAAAACAGCTAAAATAATTAAATCAAACAGACAGCCCAGACTAAAATAATTTAATGGACAGAAAAACAAAACAAAACAAAACAGGGTCCATTGAACAAATAATAAACATAACTCCAGGCCTGGCACCAAAGCTAGGTTTTCAAAGTTTCCTAGAACCCCAGGAGAGAAGGTGCTGTCCGTATCTTTGGGAAGATGCTGACACAACAGAGAAGGCACACTTCCTAGGTCCCACAAGACCACAATATTTAATGAAGGGGACCGGGAGCACAGTCACTCTGCTGGAACATACTGGGTGGGCAGAAACAGTTGGAGACAAGCAGTCCTCAGATATCCAGGCCCTATGCCATACAGAGATAATATTTATAGATAATAACCAGCACCTTGAATTGCACTCAGAAGCCAATTGGCAGCCAATGCAGCTCACGTAGTGGTGGTGACACATGGGCACACTGAAAGACACCCATTAGTGCTTATGCTGCCGCATTTTGAATCAGCTGTAGCTTCCGGGTGGTCTTCAAGGGCAGCCTCATGTAGAGTGCATTGCAATAATCCAATTGTGAGGTGACCAGGGCACAAGTGACTGACTGAAGGGCCTCCCAATTGAGGAAAGGGTACAGCTGGCACACAAGCATACACGAGCAGTAGCTGTAAGTGCAGAAGGATCCCAAAGTTGCACATCAGTCTTGACTGGGGAAGCAAGCCTCATCCAAGACCAAAGATGGTGACATTCCTGACCCAGCAGGTCCAAACTACTATAGCCACTCAGTCTGGTTAGGATTGAGTCATTGAAGTCTGTTCTACACCATCCAGACGCAAACAGCCTCCAGGCACTGGGTCAATATATTGATAGGTTCACCTGTGCCACTCAGGATGGAGTTGTAAAGTTGACCTCACCCAGTGGTTTCATGTAGATGTTGAACAGGAAAGAGGAAAGTGACCAGTCCTGAGGCACCCCACACAAAAGGGGCCACGGATGTGGTCTCTCCTCCCCTGTCAACACCAACTGGAATCAACCACTGAGAAAGGAGGCAAACCTCTAAAGCATAGTGCCTCCCACTCCTAACCCCTGCAGTTGGTACAGAAGGATACTATGGTTGACAGGATCGAAAGCCACTGTGAGATTAAGGAGCACTAGGATGGCTGCACCATCCCCATCCCAGCTCTGCCAAAGGTCATCAGCAAGCACTACCAGTGTTGTCTCTGTAGTGTTCCCTGGCCTGAAGCCAGACTGAAATGGCTTTCATTTCAGATATTCCATAATGATTATATTTATGTAATCATAATTATATTTCATTTTGGGATCCATAGATGCCATCTGGGGTTCCCATGTGAGACAGTGCCTATAGTCACCATATTGGTATGCTTTCACTTATGAACAGTCCTAAAAACATTAAATGAAAATGTAGTACCTGAGTAAAAGAAACAGTCAGGGATCACTGTTAGTGTAAATGTCAGAACACCACTGATATTTACTGGAATTTTATAATTCCAGTAAAATGTCAGAATGGAAAATGTCAAAAATAGCTGTCATTTATTATGTCTTAAGATTCACCAAAACCCTTTGGTTAAACTGCATCTTCATTATCATGATAAGCTGATAAAAGGGCAGCATCTACTAGTTAATAAGTATGTATCCAAAACAATTTATTTCTGGTGATTTGTGATCTTGTCAAAATTATTCAGTTCATAATGATATAGCAAGACAATTTTGCTTAGATGGTTTAACCTGGCCAGGAATATGAAAGAAGATTCTGCACCTGTACAATCAGAGGGTCTTTTTTTTTTTTTTTTCAGTTGCCACTCAAAATGTTTTCTCTCTATTTTTTTCTTTTTAATTTTTAAAAATTTTTACTAAGCCTTGAATAATAAACAATTCCAAAGCCAGCATTTAACCTTTAACTACTGATGATGGCACAGTTCAGGAAAAGTCTCAATCCTTTGGATTTACAGAAACTTCATAAATTAGAAGTGAGCTTGGCCACTCTTGAGAAAACTCCACAAGCCAAATTAGCTGAATGTTGGGCATCAGCAGATTTAATAAAACATGGTGACTATTTGGTTCCTTCCCCCACATTCCAAAAAACCCTGCTTCTGTTTTTTGTGGTTCCAAGAGACCCCTAAATTCATACCATCAAAATTTGGCAGAAAAAATGTGATTTTTGGATAAATAATTTTTGCTTGTTTCTTTTCTACCTCTTAAGTTCTAAGATTTGTTAATTCTTGAAAGAAAAGGGAGAGTATAAAAAAATAAAATCAGAGCAGGTTTGAAAATATCAGCCTCATACCCTCTAGTATGTTCCTAAACCAAACTAAAAATAAAAGACAGCCCATCTCTGCTTTATACACTTTGGATGAAATCCTAATTTCTTTCCTCTAAAATCTGTTTAGCAACAGTGGAGAAGATCTGGCCATGTTTGCAATCAAAGCATCTCAGGGAGAAAGGATTGATTTTCTTTTTTTAATATTTATCACCCTGTATTATTTTTGCTATTTCATTTGTATTTATTATCCATACTATTTTAACACTTCATTATATTTTCTTTGCCTTCCAAACGGAAAGACAGAGTTCACCTCACCTAGAGCACCACAAAACAGTTGGGCATTTCAAGGTTCTTCAGTTGTTTATTCTAATTTTCATTGGGTCTACAGAAGGTCCTATTACATTGTAATGAATGGATGACAAGAGTAGCAAT